TCTCTCTCTCTCTCTCTCTCTCTCTCTCTCTCTCTCTCTCTCTCTCTTCCATCCTTTTAGGGCTTTTTTTCCCTGGAGGTTGTTCCTTACCCAGGTCAGGGACCTATATGTGAAAAACAGAAACCCCTAGCAACATTTGAGTTGCACATCTTTTAGAGATTTTTTAGCTTTCAATATCAATCTGGTTTTTATTAGTTCAACAGAGCCCAAACTAAAGCAGGTAAGATGATTGTATTTTAGAGTTCACTGAAGCTTATTGGCTATTTTTGTTAGATGGTTTCTGGAAAATTTTGCCCGTGTCCATCAAACAAAGTCACCTGTGAGAAGCAGATCTAGCCTTTCTATTAGCCAGAAATAGGGTTCTGGGAGCAGAGTTCATCATGAGACTGAAACAGAGGAAGAATTCCTGGGTAAATAGGAGGATAAACACCTATTTTAGATAAAGAAATTTGTCTACTTAAAGCTCTGTCAATTTCTGAAAAATATCCCAATCCTGTTGCAAAAACAGGTTCAAGTGATTTTGGCACTCCACACTTATCATGGCATTATAACTTTTCATCAAGCGTCAAAAAATACACCTGTCTTTGGACATTTGGCCCATTAATTTCAAATAAAGAGAATGAGTAAATTAATGGGATAATCAATTTATCAGGATAATTCTTACACACAAGCACTTCTTTTGTTTACAGTGAAGGTTAATAAGAAGGAAATTCTCCTTGGAATTCTAGTGTTAGGCACAGTGCTTCATAGTTACGATTTTTTATTGAATGAATTATGGGATCATTGAAAAAATAAGATTCCCCCAGTCCCCCCAGTTATCCTATATGAACTGTCTCTGTACTTCACAAAAGCTGAGGCATCCCCAGTATGCAAGTGACTTCCTTTCAGATGCCTGTACATGTAAATGATACTTCTTTCCCTATTCCACAGTGATAGAAACATTTGTGAAAGCAACCTCCTCACATTTGTTCTAACTTAAACGTTAAAATTCGTTCAGAAGTGGAAAGAAAGCATTTTCCCTTCTTTTCCAGGTTGGAATAATTTCTTAATGACATCTTTGCTCAGAAATATCTCTTTTGCTATAGTCATCTTCCTGCTGAGGCTTTTGTTTCACCCTAATAATTCTATCAATTAGAGATTCCTTTGGACTATTGAAGTTCCAAAGTCTCTTTGAAACTTTTGGGGGCCACTGGATATCAACATTCTTATGCTAATTTTTATAGACTTGATGAATTCTTTGTAACCTGAAGAATGGATTTCTTGAGTGCCAAGGAAGGGAAAACACTGGTTGTGGAGAATGGTAAAAATCAGTTTTAGTTCACATATTCCCAAGGAGGCCAGAGTGGCCTGGAGGCTTAAGGATTTTTGAGAAGAAGGCTTATAAACATGGTTAAGGGCTTTGTTTCAGATGCACAACTTGAAACATCAGCTTACTTCTGCAAGCACAACTCCATTTCTTACATTAATGGTTCATGTTTATACTTCATAAGTGGCCTTATCCAGAGATGTTTCAGCTTAGTCCCTGATGGTTCCACTCCTGTCAACAACTTAAAAATCCTATGCCACAAATTCATTTCAGCATAAATAAGTATTCCTTTTCAGTGGAGCACATATTTTTAAAATTCAAAATGTGCAAATGTTTCAAGTAAACTAGAAGAAAAAGGATTGGGAAATTTAGTCACAGTTGTATAATAGTAAGTCATATGTTTAATTTAATGTATTTGGATTTTTTTTCAAGTTAGATTTTAAAGTGGTCCATATGTCTGATCAACATATGCATTTGATCATGTGAGCAGGAATAATAGTGCTTAGGAGTATAGACTGTGGAACTGAATTGGCTGTCTTAGAATGTCATCTTTGCCACTGCTGTGTGACCTTGGCAGATTACCTAACCTCTGTGGGCCTCAGTTTCCCTAGATAGAAAAGTGAAATAATCAAAGTACCTTCTTCATAGGATTATTATGAGGGTTAGCTAATTTAATGTATGTGAATCTTTAAAGCAGTGCTCCGTATATAATAAGCAATAAACAAAGATTAGGTGTTTGCTTTAATAGTAATAAAATAGAATTTTATTTTAATTGGTCTTCTTGCTAATCAGTTAAAGTAGTTTGGGCTTTATTCTTTAAGTTTTATGGGAACAACTCTAAACCTACCTGAACTTTTGCAAATAATTCAGTGAGGGAAACAGTCAAAATTATCCATAAGATTTACCAGCAATAATACAATCAGCTAAAGAGATTAATTTCCCTCATGCTGGTGTTGATCACTGTTATGATCATAGATAGATCCGGTCTGACTGGATCTATCTTGTGGGTGATATTTTCTCTTTGAGAACTTAGGTTTCATCAATGTAAATCATTGTTAATATGTTTTATACTTTTATGCAGCATAAAAGCACATGAGTGGCTTTTCTTCTTGTGCCAAAATTTATTTCAGCTCATCATAATAATGATTAAACTTTCCAAATCCTTTTGATTTCCCAGGTTTTGCTGATAGTTAATATTCTGCAATGTAAGTAGGTTGTTGACAGATTTGATTTTAAATAAATCAGTAGAATATATTTATTGAATCTCTACTTGATACCCAGCATTGCACCAAAAAAAAAAAAAAATAGAAATTATAGACCTTCTTTTCATGGAGCCTCACTCCAGAGGATAAGTGAAGATTAACGAAGGGAAAACTTTGAGAAGACACTAGGTGTGAAAAAGTGATGTGATATAAGAGCTGCCATACTGTTTCAATAGGAAAAGAGAGAAAGACACCAGGAGAAAATAGTGACATGGACACTTCAATGTCAGAGAAGTTTGTCTTATTGATGCCTAAGTGGAAAAGGAGAAAAATCTTTTTTTCCCAACAGAAAGTTAAGATGGAATTTGTTGAAAGGCAGGAAGTCCACTCTGAACACGGGTCAGGACGGATGGTCCAGAGGCTGGAGGCTAGTGTGAACCTTTTCAAATAAGAGAAATTCTAAATCCCTAGAGACCCAGAAAGTTGCTCCCTAACACACAGCCAGAACTGCAAGCCCTTGAATTAGAATTACAAATTGTCTTTCCTCCTGGATTTATAGCTCTTCTCTCTCTGTTTGAAAAATGACATTTCCTTCTTCTCAGCCTTTCCTCTTGCTAAGCCTTTGGAAGGGCCACTGGTAAGTGAATAGCCCATCCCTTCTTTATGGGTTCCTGAACAGAGTTCACATAGTTCTTTCCATCTTTCCTGTTATGTTTCAGGAACATGCCTCCGTAGCCAGGAGTCCAAAGTAGTTTTCAGATCAGCAAATTTGGCTCTATAAAAGTAGTCTTAATTGCCAGAGTCCTGTGTGGATGATTTCTTGATTCAAAACAAGGAAGAGTTATTATTGAATGGAATTAGTTCCCTTTGCAGAAGTTTACTGATACTGATGGTGGAGACTTCATATTTTCCAGAAGAATGTCCCATATGGACTTCATGGACTCAGAGATGGACGAATATTACTTTTGAAGTATTTCTTAGAATTAAGTTAGAAAGCACCTTCGCCTCACAAGAAAAATGGTTCTTTAATGCTATATTTTATGGTTGGTGACCATCTGGATGATCAGTACTGGCATAGGACAACATGCTGGAATTCTATAGAATGTGCTGGCCTCACTACTATGTGGAAAGCACAGTGTTCTTGCAAGATCTCACGTTTGTGAGGACAAAGACATTTCTTAATTTCTTAGGCATTAGATGCACTGAAGGACTATGAAGATTGGGACTGAGTTGTCTGACCAGGGACCTGTTTTCATGAACATATTCAAAGTTTGGAGTTTTAACATTTTTCTCAAATGCGATATAGGCAGAGTATTACATTTGACACCATTGAAAGAAATGATTGCCATGAAGCTTTAAACCTGAGTCCCATGTGTGAGATCACATGGATTTGGACATTTTTAAAAGTGTCCAAATATAGCACAGTGCTTTATCACTGTGCTATATTTTCAGCCCTTTTTAAAATTTTGAGACAGGGTGTCACTAAGTTGCCTATACTGGCCTTGAACTTGCAATCCTCCTGCCTCAGCCTCCTGAATATTATTGATTACAGGCATGTGCTAGGCTTGTGGACTGTTCTTTAAGTAATTATTTTATGAACTGAATTATTACATTATAGGGTATTGGTACCTGGGGTGCAACATTCATAACAGAGTTAAATCTATAGACTCAAGAGTCAAATATTGCCATCATGAAAAACATTTGCTGTGGCACTGTGCAATCTGTTCAAAATCCAAAAAAATGTATCCTCCCATAAATGCTGACATTTTGCTCCAGGAAAAAAAAAACACTTCACTTGTTATACCCAGCATTCTCACAGAAAAAAATCATTTAGTTTTATATAATTAAGGCATTATTTTTTAAGGTAGGTATTTAAAATGAAGCATAATTTTCTTAAGTCTGTTTTGAAATGTCTTCTTTAAAAAAAAATCTACAAAATGCTTCAAATAATAGAACTGATTTCAAACCTTTATTGGCCCTGACTGCAGCAATGTGGTTGGATGTTTTGTATTGAGAAACTTTTTTTTCCCCCCTGTCTAGGGTGACCCTGGACTGCCTGGGAACCCTGGCTACCCTGGACAACCTGGTCAAGATGGTAAGCCTGTGAGTACTGAAAGCTTAGTCATCTCCAGTACTGGGATTATAGTGTCAAAGTAAAAATTGCACTGGGCACAGCTAAACAGGCAAAGATGACTTTATTCAAGACTACTGCCCTCGGGGAGAGAGAACTGGCTCAATGCTGCTGAAACAAAGGGAGAGAAAGGTTTTAAATGCTGGGCACACTAGTAGAAAAGTACTGGAGGACTTAGAAGGAAGGTAGGGTTTTGAGATGGAACACATTGAGTTATTCCTCAATTTTTCAAATATTTTCTTCCTTGATTAGCCCACCTGTATTTGCTTCTATTTGGCACCCATTAAAGATAGTCTCCAGCTTTGCAAGATCAGGATGCTGTCTTCCCTGAGGATGATATAAAAGGATGGCAAGGAGGTCCTTGAGAAGCCATTCCTGGGTTGTAAAACTAGTAAGAAGCTATTAAAAAATTTGTATTTCAAAGAGAGGCCTAATGTTGAATCATTTTCTAAAGTAAATGCTCTAAGAAAAGCAAAGTCAGGTAGAATAAGAAAGATAGTGACCTAAATTTAGTAAAAGTGAGGGAAACATTACAGTCAGCTTGGCCAAAGAAGCAGCATTGTTGACACAGGGTTGCCTGGGGATCAGATTTGATGAGGTCCCTTAGAGTGCTTTGTAGCTACAGATGGCGTGTGAGTGCAGGCCTAGAGCAGGCATTGTGCTCCTCTGTGCTGTTCTAGACACTTCATGATCCTACTTCATGATTATATACATCTTTACTACAATGAAAAATATTGACCAGGGACTTTCAGTATCATGATAAATCCTTTTGTCTTTTCTTTTTATGTATATGGAAGTTTTCAACTTAAAAGTCTTTTCAAAGGTGATGTCATTTTTTAAGAATATATGCGCTGAAGCACACTTATAATCTGATTAAATAAATAATATTATCTAAGGTTCTAAGAGAAATTTAGGGACACAGAAAGGGAATGTAAATCAACTTTAAAGCATTTTATGCAATATTTATAGATAAGTCATCTGTCATCATGTTTGCAGAAGTAAATAAATATCAAGAATTAGCTTTGGAATATTAAAAAAATAGTTTTCACCAAGAAATATTTCTCCTGAGAGACTTTATCATGAAGGAGTGGGAAGGTTTGTACTGTGAGTCAATAGTTTTCAGGAAGTCAGACTTGTTGGCAAATTCCTGCAATCCTAGTGGCTTGAGAGGCTAAGGCAGTAGGATTGCAAGTTCAGAGCCAGCCTCAGCAACTTAGTGACACCATAAGCAACTTAGTGAGACTCTGTCCCAAAATAAAAAAGGCTGGGGTTATGACTCAGTGGTTAAACACCCCTGAGTTCAAACCTTGGTATAAAAATGGTGATGATGATGATGATTATGGTGGTGGTGGTGGTGATGATGTTGTTCAATGAAAGAGCCAGAGGCCTAATGTTGAATCATTAAGACTCCTATCATCAGGAGAGTTACTTAAGTCCCTGAGAAAAGTTTGCTAATGGATTTAATACAAAAACAAAACAAGACAAACAAGAACAACAACATAAAAGAAACTAGGCAACCTTTGAAACTGTGTTAATATACTGAGGCCTTTGACCCCAGCATTGCATGGGAAGGGCTTAGATAGTAGGTGAGCCCCTCTAGAGAGGTAATAGGTAATAAAGGAATGGTCATTGGGAACTGCTGTATGATTGGAACTGTGCTGCTCAGCTGACCATGGCAACCAGGGATTTTGAGAAAGGAAGTGACTTAACTGGGTTTACAACTTCAAAGGATAAATATGAATATTACCTGGAGAGTAGCTTACATGGGGGCAGGTGTGAAAAGAAGGAGATCATGTGGAGATTATTTCATGATTATTTCATGATTCTAAGTAAGAGGTAAGAGTAGTGGACTAGAATGATGTGGCAGAAGAGAGAAGTAGTCAGATTCTGACTTATCTTCTCATTTAAAGCTGACCACAGTGCCAACAAATTTATATGTTGGGTATGTAAGAAAGAGAGATGTTGAAGAAGTCACAAAGGATTTTAGTTTGAGTAACTGGGTGAATTGTGGTGTCATATACTGCCCTGGGCAAGGCTGTGGGAGATGTCACTTTTGTGAGGAGTATCAAGAATGCATTTTTGGACAATTGGAGAATCCAGTTGTGAGTCACCATATAGCTGTATTCAAGGTCATGGGAGTAAATGAAATCATTTAGGGAATGAATACAGACAGAGAAGAGAAGGGGGCAGTGGACAGGGCTTAGGGCTTAGAGGAGCAAGAGGCAGAGGATCAGCCAAGGAAATAGGAAGCACTGATCAGTGATGCAGGAGGAAAACCAGGAGAGTATGGCATCCCGAGGGGTGGAAGCATTTCAAGAAGGGAGTGTTCAGTTGTGTCATTGTTGTCAAGAGGTCAGAAAAGTTGAGGCTTATGACTAGACTGTTGAATTTGCTATATGGACGTTACTAAAGGCCTTGATAACGGTGCTTCTGGTAGGATGGTACAAAAGCTGGATTGGAAGAGATACATGGGAAGAGTAGGAGATGAAATGGTAACTGAGTATAAATGTTTCTCCTAAGGATATAAAGGGGAGCAGAGAAATGGAGCAGTAGGATAGGGATGACGTAGGATCAGAGTAGATTTTTTTTAAAGGTGGGGGTGTTGTAGCAGTTTTATCATGATGAAAATGAGGTAAAAAGAAAAAAAAATGGGAGATTTGAGAGACATTTGTAGGAAAATGAGTAGATAAGAGGGCATTAGCTTCAGTTAGGAAACAAAAGTTTCACCTTGATAAGAGGATGGACAGTTAAACTTTTATGTGGGTACAGAAACAGCTAGAATGTGTATTTTGGGGAAGAGGTTGGTACAGAAACAGCTAGAATATGTATTTTGGAGAAATACATGGAATATGTATTTTGAGAAAAATTATCAGACTACTTATATTGAATTCAACTCAACTAAAATAGAGACATAATATCTTTGCTTTTGGATTTATCTTTAGCTTCTGTTTTGTGGCAACATTGCCTTGGAATTTCTGTTTTAATCCAACCTTTATTCACTTTAACCTAAGCTGTCTTTATGATCTTGTGCATTTTCTCACTGCAGTTCCTAGTCCCACTAAGATACTTCCCTGAGCTCCTATGTGAGTTCTGCCCTAATCACACTTGGATAAGATGATTTTTATAAATATGAGCCCTCCTGCCTGGAGATCCCTTTTCTGGGCTCTACTATTTTTATGACTGGCAGCTGAGGTGATGAACCAAATCCAAAACAGGTAGACTTTACAGGCTGGCATGTCACCTGTCAACACTGCATAATGTTGTGGCACATCCCTGACAGCACTGGTAAATTATTTCAGCTTTTGTTTTTTTCAATGATAAGAAAATCCTAGGCAATGTTGGGAGGTGAGTGCTGATCAGGCCCTCCATGGGTTATCAGCCCTGTTTGCTTTAAAAATTTTTTTAAAAATCTTTCCTTGAATAAAGTGCTAGGGATTAATTACAGTTAGCTTCATATAATAAACTTGGATATTACTCTATTATCTGACTTAAGATATAGAAGACTTATTTCCTCATCTAATTAATCACCTGTGTAGATATGTTTTTTTTTAATTTTTTTATTGTTGGTTGTTCAAAACATTACAAATTTCTTGACATATCATATTCCACACTTTGATTCAAGTGGGTTATGAACTCCCACTTTCACCCCATACACAGATTGCAGAATCACATCAGTTACACATCCATTGATTTACATATTGCCATACTAGTGTCTGTTGTGCTCCGCTGCCTTTCCCATCCTCCACCATCCCCCCTCCCCTCCTCTCCCCTCCCCTGTGGCATTTAGATATGTTTTGAATATATGTATATGTGTATAATTTTATGTTAGGTATATCTGTGCAGTATCTGATAGTAAAATCAAAGAATAAAAGCAAGCAACTGTGGTGAGCAGAATCATGGTCCCCTACATGTTCACATCTCAAATTTCAATACTCATGAAAATGTTATCTTTTATGCAGAAGATGTTGTGCAGATGTGATTAATTTAAGGATATTGAGATGGAATCATTTTGAACTATCTGCATGTTCCAGTGTAGTCACAGGTTCTTTAAAGAAGAAAACAGGAGTGTGAATCAGGGAAGGGTTTTTTGATGATGATGATGATGCAAGCAGAGATCAGAGTGAGGTGCCCAGGAGACAAGAGATCAAAAGAAGCTTCTAGACTCTGGAAAAGAGACGGGATGGATTCTCCCTTAGAGCTTTCAGAAGGAGCAAAGCCCTACTGACACCTTGATTTAGCTCCATAAGACCTCTTTCAGACTTCTGACCTCTAGAACTATAAAATAATAAGTTTGTGTTGTTTAAAGCCACTATGTTTGGGTTAATTTGTTATAGCACCAATAAGAAACTGAGATATCAACCCAAATCCTGTTTTCCCCTAAGTCTGACTTTTTTCTTAAATTCTCCCCACCCCGCCCCCATTTCTCTCTCTCTGCAGGAGATGTGAGATTGGGTGGCCAAGCAGGAAGAGAAAGCAAGCCTGTGAGCCAGAACAGCTGAGGGTCATTAGAGTGTGTCCAGGGCCAGCAACCAGCTGGAGTGGGAAGGTGTGGGTGGAGCCTCTGGCTGGCTCTTGAAGCCATCTGGACCAAGGAAACTTGGATGGAACAGTTTGCAGGGAATTCTGCTTTGTTTGGATTTGGTTCTGTACAATCCCCCTCAATAAGCAATTTGAATCTCTTTCACACATTATAACCAAGCCAAGTCAATTGGAGCTTTAAATAGTAAATTATTCCACTCTGGAGAAATACTAATTTTCATAAGGAAAGTGCATTCAACCAAAATTTTAAGAGTGATTTCCAATCCTTCCATTTCTTTCTCACTTCTCTTTCAATCCACTAACTTCTATAGTGCAGTGTCTGAGCATATTAATATTTATTCTTTTACTATGACAAAAGGAAAGATGGGGAAAATATTTACATAGTCTGCTAGGTAATTCAGGGTGGTACTACTAAAGACATTATACTGATAGG